TTCTTTCAAGTTTTTACTTTCTTATTTCTTATGGTTTTAGTTAACAATAATAACTCTGTTTGCATGTCATGCAAACATTAACCATCATCAGAGAACTGTGAAAATGTATATGCATCATTAAATTATTTAAGAAACTATTTTACATCTAAGGGGTTCGGCAAACAAAAAAGACAATTTGGGAAGCCCTACAATACGATATATACACGCAAGTAAGATTTTCATACCCTGCAGCTGCCCGTGGTTTTGCAGTTTTCTCCTTTTGATGTTGATACTCTCATTGACAGTAGCTTTCTTCTCTGGAGGCCTGTCCTCCTCATCTTTCTCCATAACACTGTCCTCCACGTCCGACTCGGACTCGCCTCCTGCAGGCCAGGGCAGGTTCTGCACAAACGAATGACCCGCCACACACTGCCACAGTGCAGATGTAGATAAACCCACAGTGGGCTCCACGGCCCGCAGCTCAGGCTCATGCTGACACGACTGACAGTGACCTTGATACCAGCTCGCCACAGTCTGCAAGCTGGTGGCAGACACCTTCTTCCCTGCAAAATAAATAAATAAAATAAAGACAAATAAGCAGATGATACACTACACTTTTTTTTTAACAAACAAATGCTTTTATTCAGCAAGGACACATTCAATTGATCAAAAGTGACAAAGACATTTATAGTGTTACAAAAGATTTCTATTTTTAAATAAATGGTTCAACATTTATAAGAATAAGAAATGTTTCTTGAGCAGCAAATCAGCATATTAGAATGATTTCTGAAGGATCATGTGACACTGAAGACTGGAGTAATGATGCTGACAATTCAGCTTTGCATCACGGGAATAAATTGCATTTTAAAATATATTAAAATAGAAAACAGTTATTTTTAATTCTAATAATATTTCACAATATTACAGTTTTTAGATCAAACAAATGCAGTCTTAGTGAGCATAAAAGACTTTTCCAAAAACATCGTACCAACCCCAAACTTTTTAACAGTAGTGTATAGAGAGAGAGAGGCTCAGGAAACACTGGTTTTGAAAATTAATTAGGTTACATTTAGTAAATATAAATATTACTCACCTTTCCTGTGACTGCTGCATTGTTCAGGAAGGGTTTTTCTCCTAACCATCACAACACAAGAGACATGTTACACCATTCATGTTAAAAAGAAAAGCTACATAGTTGAATAGTGACCACAGCTGTCTCTGGTTCCCCCTTTCATTGTATTGAAAATAGCTTGTGCTTTCTGCTTAATGTCTCTTTTTGTGTTCTACAGAAGAGGTCAGATTATAGTACTTTATGGTACAGATAGCATGTAGGCTACTACTAATCAACTGTTTGGTACTTCATACATGTAAACAAACAAAACATTAAGCAATAAGGTAGAGCCTAATACACAGCAGTATCAGCTTACCAAAGAAGACTTGCAAGATCCAAAAAGAAAACGAATTTTGTTGTATCAGGCACATACTGTATACTGTATGCCACATTTAGCCAACTTACTGCACAGTGAGTTTAAGTGATGCATGATCAAATATGGCGTTCGTGAAATCTGAATACGTACTTGGCGTATTTCTGCTGGTATTTTTCTCCATATGCAGAATTGAGCAGGATCAGATACTCGGCGAGCCCCGCGTCGCTCAGGCTCGTGCGCCGGCGCAGCTCGCTCCAGACCCGATGCGCTTCTCCCAGATAAACGCGCCGCACATCGTACTTCTTCCGCGACTCGAGCCGCCGCTGAGCCCGGTCCGCGTCTGTTAGCCTCGGGCGACCCCTGCAGCGGCGTAAAATGGCTTTGATTTGCTCTCCGGTGGTTTTGGGGTCTGTGTTTACCGCCGCCATGTTTCGTATCAGCTGTTGAGTTGTTATGTTTTGTCTTAAAGGGAAGTGCCGTGTGTAGCCTTAAAGGAAGTGTTTTTATTTATTTATTTATTTTATTCCTTGTTTTATTTTAACTATTTTTTTAAGTTCAAAAATTTTTAAATGATTTTACAATAAAAAAAATATTTTTAGCAATTTAACACGAGGATAATTTAATATTTATTTGAACCGACACTTTGATTTGGCCAATCAACAGTGAGCACTCTATTATGATAGCCAATCAGATGCGTTGTTCCAAGAGTAGGCGGTGCGACGTCATGTTCGCGGGAGAAGAAGCATGTTGCCTTTACGTTGTACAGTAGCTGCAGATAAGTCATACTTACACTAAAATTAATAACTGCTGTGATTTGAAGGCAGATTGTTATGGCTGATATTTTAGGAGTCGTTTTCAGACGGTTTGCCTCAGGAAATGTCACGAGAGATGTAATGTTTCCCTCTCACGTTGAAGGAAACACGCTGCTGCTGCTCGGGGATGTAAATATCAGTAGATCTGTGTTATTTCTAGCAGCCG